TTGCCAGACATAGATGGATTATTCAAGACACAATTAATGAGTAACGAACTATAATCTGCTATTGGAAAACATACGTATAATATGACGACATTTATGGATTTATGTTTCCTGAAAAAGTTTAATTTCTTTCACGGTATTCAGGCGCCCATACCATGAGTACGTCTTATATAATACTGACTAACTCTGCTTGACCACGAAGGCTCCTGTCGCTTCTTGCATAGTTCTGTAGTATTCATGGAATAATACATATTTTTTTTTATTTTGGCCAGTATTTTGCTCATCTGCAAACCTTCACTCCAAACCTAGCGATGGATTCAGGTAGCGCGATGATTTTTCCTTAGTACGTCTTCTTGTTTGGTATTTATTCTGATACATAATTAGTTACTACGAATTAGTCAGTCCCAAATTACCGTAAAAACACATGTTGTCATGACCTGAGGTGCCTCAGTGCATGATTCTGGTAGACCTTCTGTTCCTACATGTGTACAATCTTATGTTGAGAAGAATTAATAGCATATATTTGACAAACAATCTATTTGTGTTCTAAACCGGTAGCCGAGAACAAGACTTCATTTGGCACCAGGAGTTCTTATAGCTCTATACCATATTATCAGTCATAGCTCAGAGTGATACCAGCTTTCCCACTTTGCAAGCAAACCTGATGCTAGCAGCATCTACGCCCTTTAGCGAGCGGCCATGTCATGAATGTGAAAACATCTTGCTTTGATCTCCAAACTTGCACAGAGGTCATTCTTTACTCTCATGCCACCATTGTCGTGCAGCATCAACCATAGCGTTTTCCTAAAGCTACTGTACTGGTAGTGGCGCATGTTAGACAGAGGCTAGACCAGTATACTCCGTCCATTTTTGAGGGTTTGGATGAGTCGGTGGATTATACTCACTTGTTTGGACAGTTATTAAGCTTGGCTTCTGTAGTTTAGTATGTGTAAATTGATTTTTTATAATTTTTTAAATGGCCTCTCTGTTGCAATTCCCAAAGGTGTTTTGCTTAATGTCAAAAAAACTGAAACGTATCAAACCTATCTTGTTTAAGACTCCTGTAGTGGTATTAATTGGACACTCAGTTTGTAGGGCTTTGCTCATAGGGTAAATAATTCTTTATAACCAAAAATTTTCTAATCCAAAGCATCCAGTCTACGCAAAGATTCAGAGAGGATCTGCATGTGTTGCTTGTATAAAGAGGATGAGCTGTCTTACGTGTGAGTGTCTTGGGTGTAGTGGTGTTGTCATTTGTGCGTCCACGAGACCCACCTTCCACTGCGCCAGACGATGCTACATGTGGCTTTTTTCTCCGGTGTTTGTCTGTAAGTATCTTCCTTCATGCTTATTAAGTGTGGATAAGATTGGCGTCTCAAATTAGCTGAAACATGGACCAAGAGTGTCCAGTTTCCACGAGTAGCGTACCCTCGCTACCCACCCTATACAATATAATGATATCACTCTGTGTGTCGCAGTTAGAGACCTCATTTAATGTTCGTCATTTATTGGTCTGCATGTGAAATCATTGTTGCATTGGTCCGACAACGGCCAGCACGGAGTGCCTTCTGTATCCTCTGCCCCTGCCTGCTTATATCGATTATCATATTTCAAGATGAGCCTCTTTTTTGTTGATGGATGTTTAAAGTTGTTTGATCTGGGTGTGTGATTGCAATTTTGAGTGGGACATCATAAATTTGAGGGAATACGTCATCTACATGCTTAAGGAGCTAAATTTAATACAGTTACAGAATTAAGGGGAGTACATGTGTTAAGCATCAAAAAGATATAACATATGAGGCTGTCTTGTGAAAGGATACAGTGAGACCCTTTGTGAGACTTTGGAATTTAATGTATTATGATCAAGAGCAGAATTAACACAACCAACCACCACACAACACACCACACAGCACACGTTCTCTCTCTCTCTCTCTCTCACCGGAACCAGATTTATTTCTCGTGTTGAACTTGACGGTGTCGCTGTGGATGCAGGAGAGGGAGCCGAGGCTATTTAAAGAGGGTCATCCAGTCACGGATAAATAGCAGGAGGTCCTCGGCGTTGACTAACCGCCTCTAAATGGTTTTCATCCCGCACTGTGTCTCTGTCTGCGGCTTCTTACTGTCCATTAGTCCGGACTGAGGCCGGTTCTCCCTGCGTCGACCAGACCCGCTCCAGTCTACCAGCTCTTCTTCCAAAAAAAGGGGCTATTTTATTTCATCTTTTCAATTTTTTCTCTCGGTCATAGCCACCTGAATAGAAAATGGGCAAAGATTACTATAAAACGTTGGGCATCTCCAAAGGAGCCACAGACGAGGATATTAAGAAAGCTTACAGAAAACAGGCGCTGAAATGGCACCCGGACAAAAACAAGTCCGCAGCCGCCGAGGAGAAATTCAAGGAAATCGCCGAGGCATATGAAGTCCTCAGTGATCCGAAGAAAAGAGAAGTTTATGATCAGTATGGAGAGGAAGGTAATGTGTGCTTTTTATTAGTGTTTTTTCACCCGCTGTGTGTTATAGTTTACCTTTAATGCACCGTTATAACCCCCGTTATAAAGCCGGGGATGGATGGATGTTAAACACACAGCTGGCTTTAATTCAAGTCACTCCACTGCAAGCAGCAGGCCTAGAAAAAAACAGCTGTTCAGCACATTACAGTGCTGTGCATTTTTATTGTAAGGATGAGCTATAACACTGTGCATGCAGTTATAAGCCATCTGTCACTGTTGTTAAATGTGGGTGCTGTAATAGGACACAAATATATAGTATTTCTGTTATATCAAAGCATTTTTTGTACAATATGTCCTACCCACAATGTTAGGTTTGATTTTCAGTCCAGATGGTTATGGGTGGGAAGCATGTTGGATGTGAGGATGGGGGAAAAAACATAATCTCTACATCCATTTATCAAAAAATATAGATGGCATTATTGTGCTTTTCAGGAATTTACCTTATTTTTACCATTTAATGTAGAAAACGGCGTGTTGAACATCTCCAGAAAGTGCCAGAATAAAGCATGTAAATGTATGCTAGTAGAAGCCCAGAGTGAAGATATGAACCTGGAAATGTGCACAATATGGCTCCTTCTAAAGGCCTAAAACCACACAGACATTGGACAAACTCATTATCTGATTATATAAAACAAATGGAAGAGATTGAGTGTGTGTAGTGTCCGAAGTTGTCCACCAAAGTTCCTTAATGTCCTTTAAAAAACACCTTCATTTAATCCACTTTTTGATGCCTCAACTCAGGGTATCGACTAATACACGGGTTCAATAATAGCACTCTATTTATACCTTATAATAATATAAATTATAATATAAAATGTCTTTATCACACTTTGTGGAACTCATTGGGATCCTTTTTATGTAGGAAACGTGATGCTAAGGTACTAAAAACTCAATTATTTGAAGTATACCCATCACAGTTGCCTAGAACATGTGGCAGGAGTCAGCAACCTTTACTATCAAAAGAGCCATTTTCAGTTTGGAGCTGCAAAACATATTTAGAGCCTTATAATGCAAATTTCCAGCCAGCATCATTGGTTGGTGAAAGCAAACAAATCTGTCTACTTACTATTAAATTCTGTATTTTCCTCAAAGGTGTTTATTTGTTTGGATTTGGAAGCCATAGCTAGTGTTAGAGACTCAAAATACGAAGCCACTGCTGTTGAGATTTGGCAAAATTTAGAAGAAAAGGCGCCAGATCAGGATTTAATGTATGGTCGATTTTAGTTGATGAAATATTTTTATTATTTGTTGTGTAAAGTCTACACATTTATACAACTGGAGAATGTGAAAATAACCGTTATTCATTTCCTATATAATGTTTTGTCAAAGCCACAAGGAGCCACTGGAGAGCAGCTAAAGAGGAGCCACAGGTTGCCCACTGGCCTATAGTGACGTCTTCAGATGTCTTGCTTTGTCCAACCAACACTCAAAAAACTCAAACATACTAGATGATGTAGATTTTAAGACACACTTGAAAAGTGTCACATTTGAGAATTTGCAACCATCTATTGTCTAATTGATTAGTTAACTATCGTTGCAGCTCTAATAAGAGCAGTTTCGTGCATCTCTGTTGTGAAGGTAGGCATAAAGCTCTCTCACTGCTGAGTGTCAACGCTAGGATGACTAAAGAATTGTTTCTGTTGCTCATCAGGTCTCAAGGGAGGAAATGGGCCCACTGCTGATGGACAAGGCAGCACTTTCACCTACACCTTCCACGGGGACCCTCACGCCACCTTCGCCACTTTCTTCGGGGGATCAAACCCCTTCGAGATCTTCTTCGGGCGTAAAGCCAACGGCAGAGACGACGAGGACATGGAGGTGGACGGAAACGACCCCTTCGGCTCCTTCACCAGCTTCAACCTGAACGGGTTCCCTCGGGACGGCCACGTCGGCCCCGGAGGTCAGCAGCGCCGGAAGCAGGACCCGGCCATCATCCACGAACTGAGGGTCACCCTGGAGGAGGTCTTCCACGGCTGCACCAAGAGGATGAAGATCTCTCGCAAAAGGCTAAATCCAGATGGCAGGACCATGCGCAACGAGGATAAGATTCTCACTATCGAGATCAAGCGGGGCTGGAAAGAAGGAACCAAGATCACGTTCCCACGGGAGGGAGACGAGTCGCCCAATACCATTCCTGCTGACATTGTTTTCGTCATCAAGGACAAGCCACACCCTCACTTTAGGCGGGAGGGCTCGAACATTGTGTATCCTGTGCGCGTGAGCTTACGACAGGTGAGTCGTTCTCTGTTTTGGAACCCTCTCTGACTGAGTATTAGCTGTATTAATAGAGTCTGATATATGGATTAGTCACAGAGTCAGAACGAGCTCACATATTAGTTTAGAGTGCTGCTTTAAAGCTCAGAGGCTCCAAAAAAGCCTGGTCACAATCAATAAGCTGTAGGTAGTCTGCCTCAACAGTTGTTGTCCCTGGAAAGTACAGGCATCCTGAATGAGCGTAGTACTGAACTACACACACTCACACACACTTTGGTTGTGCATTTATGTAATCTAGATCATCAACATTAAGACTGCCCTCCCCTGTAGAGAGGCGGCACCCGCCCACGCACTCAGTGAAAAGATGTACTTATATGGTTCCTCCTACTCTCAGAAATAGATCTCACTTTGAATCCCATTAAATGTTTCTAATCACATTGCTCAGAGTGTGTTGGAAACAGTAGTTTGATCAAATATTAACGTTAGCACCACATGAAATCTAGCTTTTTCCAGAACTTTCCACAGCAGAGAAAGACAAGAGAAAGTTTTAGGATCATATCTGACACCTAAGATGATCTTTGAATAGACAGATTACGACCACCTGTTATCACCTGATGACAACTGAGTCATCTCCACGACAGCTGAGCAAACTCTGTCCACTGATGAAGACTGTTAATGTGGTCTATAGCGGTTGAAAGCTCTAGAAAATATATTAAAAGGACCTGAAGTGAGTCACAATAGTTATATAATTTGCTTAGTGTTCAACTATCTAGACTCCTTATAATCTATGGTAACGTGTAGGTCTGTAAATAAGAATACCACCAACACTGTGATGGATTGGAGTTCTAATCTGAAATGTTTGGATTACTGGTACAGTACGGCCAATTCAATATTAACTGCCCACCAAGTAGCACAAGCCTCAAATCATGGGAAGCAGCGAAGGGTATTTATAGCTAAAGTAGAGTAGAGTAAACTTTATTATCCCTAAGGGGGAAATTTGTCTTTGGCACAGAGCTAAAATCTGTTAGATCACATACAAAAACATCACAAAACCAACATGAAACATTTTAAAACATGAGACATTTGACTGTACTGACAATAGAGTAATAGAGAGCAACATTGTGTACTTGAGCTGCTCCAATATATCAGCCAATATTAGCTTAGTTACCACCCCTCCCAGAAAACCCCCCGCTCTCTTTCTCTAACCCCGACTGTTCGAGGCAGACTGCCGCCCACCTAGAGCCGAGGTCTGCTCCAGGTTTCTCCCTCTTCAGAGGACGTTTTCTTCCTTGCTACTGCCAAGTGCTTGTTAATGCTGGGAATGGTTGTGTCTCTTTAAAACTTATATTTTAAAATGTGTCCTGAGATCACCTCTGTTAGGATTTGATTGAATTGAATGCTGATAACCAACACAAGAAATTACAATACAGATAATCCAAAGATATGTTGTATTTGTTGCAAAGAATACAATAATAACATATTATATATTACAAGAATCCATGTTTGCTGGACACTTAGAAATACTATTGAAGTGTTTAATTATTAGTGTTCTCTGGTAAACAGATTATATAATGGTGACAGGTTCTGAATTGCCTCAAAAGATGTCAGTATTGGCTTTAAAAAGAGTGTAAATGTGTTTACAGTAGAGCTGGGCAGCAATTCAATGCCATCCTTTAAAACTGTCAGCAGGATTGTATCATTTCCTGTTGTTGTACAACAACAAATATCTGCTGTCAAATGATTGTTAATGCTTACAAGCTGTTAAACTAACAGAATTATTCGTTTTTATTTTACACACTGAAGGCTTTATAATAAATAATAATGGATGATAGTCAGCTGATTTAACCATCAGATAGATTATTTGTGTGTGTGAATGTGCGTATATTTGTTATGTTGTCCAATATGTTGATATAAACACATTTCATGATATTTATTGTAACAAGCTCTAGTATAAATTTAATCTCAGCCAATGAACACGCTCATGTGTTATTTTCGCCTACAGTCGATCATGTGTGGGCTGCCTCTTCTCACTCTCACTTCCACATCCCTTGTCTTTGCAGTCGCTGTGCGGATGCTCGGTCACAGTGTCGACGATAGACGGGAAGACGTGCAACATGAAGATCACGGACGTCATCAAGCCCGGCATGAGAAAGACTGTTGCCGGACAGGGTCTCCCCTTACCCAAAAACCCGGAGCAGAGAGGGGATCTGGTGGTGGAGTTTGACGTTAACTTTCCCGAGACGTTGCCCGGCAATGCCAAGGACGTCCTGAAACGGCATTTACCTACCTAGGAGGGAGGACTGAAGAGAAGGGGAGATGACCGCATGACAGCGCTCACCCTCGTTACCAAACACACTCACACAAACACACACACACACACACACATGGGGACAGTTCTGACAGTTCACAGATGGACCTCCTACTGACGAATGTGCAATTTCTATTTTTGAGCTATGTGGTGTTTTTTATAAATACCATGCATGCTGCCAAGTTGATATAAGTGCAAGTGAGAGACTGTCTGGGTTTTGGTATCTGAAAGTACACATACGTGGGTCTTTGCCACAATCACTTTATATTTTTTGTTTGTTATTGGAATTATTTGGTAGTGAATGAGTCTACAGTTGCCAAAAAAAAACCCCAGTGATCGTGGGACTGTAATGCCAAACAGTAGATTTTCTTGCTCTCATTTAGATTCTACAAGCTTCGACATTTCGTCGTTCATGTTTATTTTAGGTAGAAGCCTCAGTTTGGAGGCTGTCTTAAAATGTGTGTTCAGGTTCTTCGAGAGGACAAGTGGTTGAATGAACTGGATCGTCGTGTGTGTGTGCATTTTAGAAGCTGACATGTGAAGATACTGAACTTGAATTTTAAAAAATAAATATTTCCACAAGAAGCCGATCTTGAGCTGTTTCAGTTATGGAGAGACGTTTGCTCAATGAGATAAAACAGTATTAACTATAATCACTTTGAAACCATTAATGATGCTTAGGGCCTGTTTATAATCAGTGAACAGTCTGAAAAAGCAATATTACACAAAATTACTCATATTTACGTATAAAAACAACGTATATTTTAATAGTCAAATGTTAATATTTTGTTGTTGTAAAACTTTTACAGTAAAATTTTTGATGTGAAAAGTTCAATATTAAAAATACATTGACTGGATTTAATGCTTACTAATCGCACAAGTATGAATGTGTAAATATAGCAGTCTGGCCTCAGCTGCTGGCTGTCAGCTGCCAACACAGAGGCCTTTACATTTTCCCACCAGGGGACGCCACATCACTCATCATGGCTCAGGGGCCCACTGAGGTGGAGTCTGTGGTAGACAGAGAGGGCCACTTGGCTCTTGATGTTTGTACTCATTAGTTTTTAGGTTTAAGAGCAGGAAGTGTGGGATTAAAACCAGTGCTGCCTCAATGTTTGGGCTCTACTGAAGCCACATGTAAGCTGTTTTCAGAATCAAGTAGATGTATACATAGCTACAAGTAATTTAACTTTGGTTTTATGTTGTGCTCAGGACAATTTACAGGAAGATAGAAATAGATTTAAAAAACATTTAAAGACAAGACGGTTAGAACTAAACATAGAACATAAGGGTTTTTGTATATACAGTAGAAGGCCTGTATTTCAGGATTTGATGTAAGAAAACAACGTGAAATTGAATTGAAATTGAAAGTTTAAATTATTATTTAAGATCTAAACGTGAACACAAGCTATATTTACAAATCCTTCACACTCTGCTGAACAGCTGCGTCCTGCATTAGAAAACAGTTAAGAGAACAACGATCGAGCGTCAGGGAGAAGAAAACACTGAATTAGTCAATAAGGAAGCCTGTCAAATATATATGATTGTTAAAAATACATCATACAGACAGAGAATTGTATTAAAAGGTCCTACAAATATCAGGAAAACTCATCTGTGATTGATTATCACAGGAAATCATCTAAACTCATCTAAATCGCTTGTTTTTACACAAACTTCCTGCAGTTATTGCGTTCACTATGTGGGTTCATTGTATAGTTTATCAAGTTGTTCTGTACTATTAATGATGTGCATTTAATATAATATAAAATATCCATAAAATATGTCACTCAGTTTAGTGATAGAAAAGTAAAAAGTAGGTGGAAAATAGGTGTATATATATATAAATATGTACAAAAAGCAACAGTGAGACACGTAATACAGTGTCTATATAAAGGTAAAGTTCTCTGTAGATTTTAAATCTAAAAGAAAAAGTACAAGAATGCAACACCGAAGCCATCTTTTTCATGTCTCTTAAAACATAGCTGTAACCTGCATTTATTGCACACATGTTATAATACATATTTTCATTCAATATCACAAATAAGTGTCATATTTTTGAGCATTTTCTATCTAATTATCTATTAATCTAGGTCTACCTGTACCTTGTGTTATAACTGATTATATTCTAGACCAAACAAAAAGACCTCTGGGTGGTTGCACGTGTTAGAGATCTGTGCAAAATGATGAGTCACTACTATCCAGGGAGGGTGGAGAGTAAACACACCTGCTTCTTCTCAGTGTGTTAGTTCGCCAGGCTAATGTGATTCTTTGTAGCGTAATTATGGTATCAAAACCACTGGGGGAAAAAACATTTATACATTTATAATCACAGCATTCTTCACTGTGCAGAATCGGACGAGGAGTCTTTATCCTGACTCATTCAGTTTATGAAATACAAGCTGAAACATTGCACATCTAAAGTCCTCGTCTCTAAAACCTGTATCACAAACTGGTTGTTCAGGTTTCAAATTAAAATCAGGGGACAGTTGGGAGGACAATAACATTTTAAGAACTATAATAATATTATTATGATATCCTATTTCTTCTTGAGAATGAGATGTTGTTTAAAGGGGAATTATATGGACAAAGTTATATAAAGCCTGTTGTGGCTCCAGAGGGAGCTGAAAACTGTCCTCAAGTGATGTCACTTGAGTCAGCGTCAGTTGGGGTTGAAGATGACGAAGTTTGAAAATTTAAGTTAGAAAATAATGAGCTCACCAGATCTAAATGAGGCTATATAGCAGCTCGAGGCTACATTAGCTTCTAGGATAAGACACCAGAATTTCTGACCAAACTGGTGGATGTTGCATTGTGGGTAATGTAGGCATCAGGTTCGAGGAAGTCCATGGAATAAAAAAAAGACAATATCTCCATTGTGAGTCTGATAATGTCGTAGGAGTGAAATCTTCTCTCTTCTCTGTTCTCACTGTTCTTCTATGTGTACCTGAGGTGGTCCACGAGCATTTAAAAGGAAGCAGCTTAAATTCAACACAACTTAACATAAAAGGGAATAATCCTCTTTAAATAATACAGGTTCATCTTCCAACAGTAGTTCTCCAACAAACTCATTTCTAAACAGCAAACATCTTAAATATAAATGCTTAGGGCCAAAATCTGTGGCACTCTCTCTCTCTCTCTCTCTCTCTCTCTATATATATATTATATATATATGTATATAAAAACCTACCTTACTGCAACCATGCTAGCTGCTGTGTCTGTATACAGTTTCCTACTTAAGTACAATATTGCGATATTTACATTTTATCTTGCATTGTACTTCTACTTAACTACATTTCAGAGGCAATACATTGTCGCCTTCACTCCAACTCATTTATTTTACAACTTTAGTGACATCCAGATAATTAATTATTAAGAATTAATTAATTCAACATATAAATCAATAAATAAAATATGATGTATTATTAGAGATTAAACTGTGCAGAAGTATGTCAAATAGCTCCACTTTTATCAGCTGCAACATTAAACTGATGAATAAATAAAGAATTATCCAACATTATCATATACATTATACTGAAATTGGCCATTCTTAGTAATGACCACTTCTACTTTAAATACTTAAAAGTATATTTTGATGCTTATACATTTACTCTCTCTTTCACTTTTATTTAAAATATCGGAGAAGTTTGTCTCCAATACTGTCGCCTTTACTTGGAATTATTCTCTCTCTCACCAGTTTTAAACAAAAGTTATATATTACCAACTCTTCTTGCTACCTTGCATAATTAATTTAAACTTATCCTGTATTATTTGTAATTTATTGTGTCTTTTAATATTTAACTGCCTTAAATCAAGCAGCAGACGTTAAGTGTAAATGTGGAAATATTGGATGAGCTAAATATGGAGGACTACTCTTACAAGCAGGGCTGCTCGATATGGTAAAAACATCATATTTTGATTATTTTGACAGATGCTGCAATTCACGATTAAGTGGGAATGTTAATTTTTGCACCACAAATTTAATTGTCAATGTACTAAACAAACATGTTTTCTTAAATCTTAAAAATGTGTCGACCAGGGCACCAGATTTGACCTTTTATTAAAACATGAAAGCTCTTGAGATTTCATATTGTGACTTCGATAATATTTCTATTAACTGTGCAGCCCTAGTTAAAAGTCACTGTTTATAACACAGAGGGTTTAACCTTTGATTGGCTGCTTTAAAAACAATTAATTAAGGATAAATTAAGAGCATATACCCACATCTCTAAGTATCACTACACCCCAAAATCCAGTTTTTCTGTGTGTTGATATAATTTCAGATCACTTTAACCTACACTAACTTTCAGCATGTGTTTTAAAAAAAAGAAGAAAAAGCACAAAAACAAAGGGCAGAATAATTGTTTTAAAGCGATGCTCCCCTGTGTGACGGTGCACAGGTGCACTGGGGCTCCTCCTCCTCCTCCTCTTTCTCCTCCTCCTCTTCCTCCTCTTCCTCCCACTGTGGAGCCCCGGGTTCGTCCCCACTGCGCCTGCGTCCCCACTAAGAGACACACAGGGCAGCTATTGTGAGCAGCTTATCCCGCACTCACCACCTACCTGTTGAATATTCACGCCATTTATTTTACGAGCGAGTGGAAAGGAGGTGTGTGCGTGTGTGTGTGTGTGGGGAAGGGGGGGGGTTCACTGTCGAAGAACAAGAAAGTCAAATCTGAGAGCTGTGGGCAGGTGAGGAAGAGGAAGAGGAAGGAAGAAAGAAAGAAGTAAATAAAAGGACGGAGCGACCTTCAATGTTATAGCAACGGGCTCGGACTTTTTAGTTACATACAAAAACGAAGACGACAACAACAATAACAACACAAAAATGCCGCTGGGACCGTGGAGGAAGAAAAACAAATCGACGAAGGAGCATTTGGTGGACAACGAGGAGGTGAGCGGCGGACACGCAGGTGCCGGGAGCTTGTTGAGTAAATCCGCCGTGAATGGAGCGGGACTACCGCCTCCTCCGGCCAACCTGCGGCCCAAGCTGGTCTTCCACACGCAGCTGGCCCACGGAAGCCCCACCGGCAGGATCGAGGGATTTAGTAACGTGAAGGAGTTGTACGCGAAAATAGCGGAGGCGTTTAATATAAGCCCACCTGAGGTAAGAGCTCACCTGGAGAGAGAGAGGGAGAGAGAGAAATAAAGGGAGGAGAAAAAAAAAGTCATGTTAAGTGATTTAGTGTTGCGTTCAAGGGTTTTAAAAAGCTGTGCTCTTGTTTTTAGACTTTTATAAAAGTGTAAAAGCAATGGTGGAAAGTAATTAAGTACATATACTCGAGTACTGTACTTATGTACTCGAGTATTTCCATTTCATACAGGTATATAATTGACTTCATATCACAAGAAAAAACACTTTTTACCCCACTACATTCATTTGACACCTGCTCCAAAGCATGTATTTTCAGATTAAGATGGTGATATTATGATAAGCTTATCAAATACTATCCACTGTTAGTGGCTCACAACCTTTGTGGCTTGTTTCCTCTTGCAGCAGTGTCTAGTTGGAGCCCCTATTAATCACATCACAACCCCTCACATTTATCTGGTGACCCTTGCGAGGGGACCTGACCTAAATTGGAAACCACTGCTC